ACTAAAGTTTAAAAAAAAAGCCATGAGGGGAGATACGACACCCGAATCCCCCCTCCGTAATTACCCCACTGGGCACTGGTCGGCCTATATTATATTAATTGCTATTTCATATTATAGTAATATAGGACATATAGGTAGGTACTATAGTAGGTATACCCGCTGATCCCGCGCGATCTTCGTTACCCGTAAAGAACTGGGATTGTTAAACTCCTTTTGGGTATAACTCAGCCTCCCTGGTTGGCAATCCGACTACGTCGGATCGTGGAAAATATGCAACAGCATATCAAATAGGCAATGTGCGAAAACTTGATTTGATGCAATGATGCATGCTTCTACTAATTATTTCTCCTATAACCAATAGCAACCATCTATAAACAACATTTTCTATCATACATCTCAAATTCCCGTTTGAGCCCCTCCCCAGGTGCAGGTGGTACGAGGGTGAAAAATACCTTACGGCCTATTCTCATACCTATCAAATATACAAAAAATATGTCATTGAAATCAGTCAAGCCGTTACTGAAGAGCTCCACCACTATAAAACCGTGACACGAGATTTTTATATACCTATTAGCAAGGCTCGGAAGTTCTAGCAAATGCATATTTTTATTGGTTCGTCCTAGAACATCCAAAGTAAGATACAAATATGTTTCACACTTCTCTGATGTCATACACGAAATTTTATTTTGCTATTTTTTGCATATTTACGGTTTTTACTGCTATTTTGCTAATTTTAGGTTTTTAGTGCTATTTTTGGGTATATTTTCACATAAATACATATTATAGAAGGTATTTTGCTAATTTGGAGTTATAAATGCTGTTAATGGGCATATTTAAGGAAATAAACACATATTGTTGAAAAACTAAATTACCTACCAAACAGCCGCCTACGAATATGTGAACGAAAACAAATTGTTTCATTTTAAGATGGTCCGCATCCGGAATAAACGGCCTTAGACCGTTGTTATCGTCGATAACCTTCCAATAATTTAGTTATTTTTTTTTTTTTTTTTTTTTTTCATTGATCATGAAGCCCGGCAACTATGGCCATTAGCTGTTTTTTGTTAGTTTGTAGGGGAGGGAACTGTTGGTTTATAAACACGTGTGTTTGTGGTGGCAGAATTTTTATTGGGGCACCCGTAGGTTTCTGCCATGCCCCGGAGTGGGGGGATGGCAGCACTTGTTTTCCGGACACCGTGACTTGCCCGGAGAAAAATGCCGCCCGGTGGTCGAGAATCGAACCCGCGACTGCCAGCGCCGCAGCCGACGCGTTAGACCGCTCGGCCACCTCGTCCCCCTTAGTTATTTTTGTATCAAACCTAAATGTATCAAAATATGAACTGCAGTTATCGAATTCGTCGTATTTACTTAAGATACGGCACTATCGCTAAATTTTATTTTGCATATTTTCCAATTTTTAGTGCTATTTATAGCGCTTATATTAATGTTTTTATGTGCATATTTAAGCGCTAAAAATTAATTTTTTTAGTGCTATAACTTCCGAGCCCTGCCTATTAGATTAGATGATATAGTTGTGAATTGTGAATAAAGTAATTTATGTTACTATTAGGCATTAGTTATTACTTATTAATTATTAGAACTACAGTTTAACCAATCAATTGCATTTGAAAATGGCATTGTGTCTATTTTGTGTGTATAAAATATAATACTTTCAAGTACCTACCCACGAATAATATTTTTAAATTACAAAAAAAAAAATACTAAAATCATTATTATTTGTTTAAATAGTTAATTTCGTCCAAATTTGAAAGGAAAATAAGTAAAAAGAAACGTAGGCGATATTAAATTAAATTCAATTCAATTCAAAAAAGGTTGGCAAGTGGATGTCGCTCTGCTGTATAGTAGGGGGCCAAGTGGGTCACTGTATAATGGATACAGTATTACATATGAATTCAATGATATAATATTATCATTGTATAAGAAAAACGATTCTGAGCGGAGACTTTATGTCAGTCTAGGTATAAGACATATTATATACTAATGAGAAAAAAAAAATTATTATTTATATATTTTTATATCCTTAATTGCTGTAATTTTTACTACCTATACCTACGGCTATACCTACTTATATTAATTGACATCAGTCGTCAAATAAATGTATTGCATTTAAAACGAGTTAATATGATTAAAATTCAATTTTCAAAGTTGAAAATGATAAAAATCTTCAAATCGCACTGTCCCCCCACCAAAAAAAAACAACAACTTAGCTATAATATTTATAGAAAAAAAATGCTTAGATTCTGAGCAGAGCGAAAAAATGTATTGATTTTACAATGATGTGTGTTTTTTTTCTGTTTTGTATGGCGCTTTTTGGGTAGTAAAAGTGCTCCGATTTCCTAGATCAGCATCTTTACTGATAGAAAAGTGAAACTAGTTGGTATTTTTGGGGAGTCAAAATTAAAAAGGTGGGTAAGTGGATGTCGCTCTGCTGTACAGTAGGTTACAAATGGGTCACTGTATAATGGATGCTTTTAAATTTGAATTCAATGATACAATATCATTGTATAAGAAAAACGATTCTGAGCGAAGACGGTATGTTAGTCTAGGTTTAAGACAAATTATATACATATCTATGGTATTGAAAAAAAAAATTGACCTAAAATAAATTCCAAATTAATCATATCACAATATCCATTAGGTACTTATAACACGTTATACACCAACAACAAACCCTGATACTATCATATATATATAATAGTACACTTTAGAAGTTTCAAGTAGGTACCCACGAATAATATTATATAATCACAACAAAATAACTAGGTTTTTTAATATGTAATTTCGTTCAAATTTGAACATAAAATGACTATAAAAATAAACTGTGATTGTATTTTTTTAGATTTTTCGGTAAGAGAATTAACTACTTACGTAGAATCTTGTATTAAATTTTCAATCCTTAGCTATAAAAACTGAACATTTTATAATTTATTAATTACGATGATTAATAATTTTCGAGATTTTGAAAAATTCTGTCAAAATTCGATGTTAAAATGCTTATAAAAAAAAATTGTGCCTATGTATTTTTAATATTTTTCAACTGATATTGTAACAATATATCAGGAGCCTTGTATTAAATTTTTACACTTTTTGGCCCAACAGATAAAACTAAATTGATATTTATAGAAAAAAAAAACTAAAAAAATTGAAAACTGAAAATGTCCGTAAACGGCTCAAAAAGAGTCAAAATATTTTCAAAATTGTATGGTGTATAGGAAATGCTAATATAAACATTCAGTGAAATTTTCATGTATCTACAGTAGTTCGTTTTTTAATTACAACAAAAAAAGGAAATTGCCACATGAGAAATCGAGTGAATATCCAATGTTGTAAAAATTTGAATTTCAAACGCTCATAAAAATTTAATTTGACTTTCCGGTAGAGATTTTTTTATTGATAAAGGTAGACAATCTTATGAGTAATCTTGTATTAGATTTTCAAATCTTAGATTTAAAAAGAAAAATTTTTACGAATTCTTAACTCAAAATAATTTGCTAATTTTCGTGATTTTTCCATATTTTGTCAATTTTTGAACTTTAAATGCTTATAAAAAAAAATTGTGACTAAGGATTTTTAATATTTTTCATCTGCCTTTGAAACAATATATTAGGAGCCTTCTATTAAATTTTCAAGCTTTCGCAACCAACAAATAAAATTTTATTGATATTTCTAGAAAAAAAACTAAAAAAAAACGAAAAATGAAAATGTCCCTAAACAGTTCAAAATAAATCAAAATATTTTGAAAATGTTATCGTGTATAGAAAATGCAAATATAAACAACCAGTGAAAATTTCATGTATCCACGGTCATTTGTTTTAAAGTTACAGTAGTTACACCAAAAACCAAATTCAATTTTCTGAAAAATCGATTTTACGTAAAAATTCCCGTTTTTTATTAATTTTTCTTTTGTTTTTCTTGGCGCATTTGAAAAGTACTGGAATTTTAAATTTTGACCTCCCTCATGCACCAATGATATTCACTTTCCAATCGAACAATATACTGAAGTTGAAAATCGAAGCATTATTTCGACTACTTATCGTGTACACAGACACAAAAAAAAATAAAAATATACGGACTACGGAGACACGGTCTTGCAGCAGTTACTATATATAAAGTATATACTCTGGTATATACACCATACATGTATAGTATATAGTATATAGTATATAAATTCTGGTATATGGTATAGTATATACAAGTATATGGTATAGTATATACTCAGGCATATATGCGTATATATAGAGTATATACTTTATATATATATATACTATAGTATGTATAGAGTATATACTTTAGTATATATAAGTATACATTATAGCATTTCTATATATTATATTATATATATATATAAATTTGATATTGAAAGTAAAATCCACAGTATCGATTCCACTGTGAAACGACGCGTATGTACAATCCCGCCGATCGTGCGGGATGAATACTATATAATTTTTCAACATATCGATAATATATAAAATTGCCTTCTGTTGCACAGTATAATATATATTATAAATTATATATGAATGGTACTACTATTATATATATATAGGACATAGGTATATACTATAGTATGTATGGAGTATATACTTTAGTGTATATAGGTATATATAATATATTATGTATATAATATATACTTTAGTATATATAGGTATATACTGTAGTACGTATAGAGTATATACTTTAGTATAAATAGGTATATACTATAGTATGTGTATAGTCATAGGCGTGCGCACGGGGGGGGGCGGGTAGGCCGCGGCCACCCCTGCGGCCTCTGGCATTTTCTTTAATATATAATCTATACAATACTAGAAAGTACAAAGTTAAAAACTTTAAAATCAATTTCTACCACAAGGTGGGCTTGCCGCTCAGAAGCTATTAGTGCAGTAAAAGAAAATTATTCGTCAATATTAGCAGCAATTGAAGAAATTATTGATAATACAAAACAATCAGATGTTCGAGCAAAAGGCAAGGGAATTCTCCATCAGATGAAAACGTTTGAATTTATCTTTGCCATGTTGATGTTAGATCCTATTCTTTCTTCAATATTAAAAACAAGTGCTTTTTTACAGTCACCCAACATAAACTTATTAACTGCTGTAGAAATCGTTGAGTCATTAAAAAAATTACTTGTTTCTATGAGAAATACTGAAGACGATTTCACAGATATTTATCATAAAACCATTCAAATGTGTAAAAATTATGATATTGAAATTCCACAACTGAAAAAAAGAAAAGTGTCAACCAAAATTGACTGCTTGAGTAGTACACAGCACTATATGTCTTCAAAAGAAGAAGAAATGAAGGTTTCTGTATACTATTCAACATTGGACCATATGATTAGTGGAATTAATATTAGATTTAACCAAGAAACAATGAATATGATTCAAAGCATTGGAAATTTATTAGTTTTAAATATAAATAGCAACGACATTTCAGTCTTGTCCACAGCATTTGATTTAAATTCTGATATGTTGAAAACAGAAATTAATCTTCTTAAACATACAGATAATATACCGAAAGGCGAGAAGAATAAATGTGGTGATTGGATAAATTGGCTTACACAATCCAACTGTGGAAGGGAAACTATATTTTGTAATGTTATTAAAGCATTGAAAACATTTATGATTATACCAGTAACGAGCTGTGCTTGCGAGCGTTCATTTTCTAAACTTAGTATTGTGAAAACCAAGCTACGCAGTACCATGACACAGGATCGATTGGACGGCCTGCTTACTGTATTCATTGAGCAAGAACTTGCTTATAATATAAATATTGATGATGTAATTGATACATTCAAAAACCTTACTCCCGTGGACAGAAGGATGGAGTTGTAAATAGCTATGTAAATAAGGATCTTATGTATAAATTGTGTGTGATTTTTTTATTATACTATATTTTGTAATAATAAATAATAATTTATAATAATATTTAATGATTATACTAGTGTCTAGTAGTCATTAGTACATGAATATTTGGTTCAGAAATTTTGAGGAGGCCCCCCCTGCGGACAAAGTCTGCGCACGCCTATGTGTATAGTATATACTGTAGTATATATAGATATATAATGCAGTATGTTAGAGTATATACTTTAGTATATATAGGTATATACAATATACAGTAAAACCTGTGTAATATGGAACCTGAATAACGTGGAAACCTGACTTTTATGGAAAAATGTTACGGTCCCGGCGATCCTAATGTAATTTTAAATACATCGTTCCCTGAATAAGATGGAACCTGTTTAACGTGGAAATGGAAACAATATTTTGTCATGAACCTGTGTATCATGGAAATATGTACATGTACTATTTTAAAATTATCAGTCAATGAATATAATCTATATCAATTATATAGATTATTTCGTTGCAATAAGTTTATTTTATCGATAAGTGTCGTAGTAGTGTTCTGACGTAGACTGCGTATAGACCTATATTCAATATGACGTCCAAAAATAAATGTTTAACACTAAATGAAAAAATTAAACTAATTGAGTCAAGTGAAAAAGATAAATTAACAGTAAAACAAATTTGTGAACTTTTCAAATGTGGAAAAAGTCAAGTGTATAATATATTAAAGCAAAAAAATGAAATAAAAGAACAATGGATGAATGGTATGCAATAAGCTTAACTATAAAAATGTAAAATTCAAAATTCTATATGTACGTATATTTTTTAATTTTAGGAAATGGGCGAATGAAAAGAAAACCAAAATCCAACGCTAATGAAGAAATTAATAATTTGACTTGGGAGTGGTTTGTAAGTGCTAGAGCAAAAAATATACCAATTTCTGGACCAATTATACAGACTAAAGCACGCCAAATTGCTGAACAAATGTCAGTCACCGAATTTAAAGCATCGAATGGCTGGTTGGAAAGTTTTAAAAATCGACATAATATTGTTTGGCATCAAATTTGCGGTGAGTCAAATAGTGTCGATGTTAAAAATGTTGATGAATGGAAGGTGAAAGTAAAATTAATTATTGAAGGATATGAACCTAAAAATATTTATAATGGTGATGAGACGGGTTTATTCTTTCGCGCATTACCAAGTAAAACACTATCAGTGAAAAGTGAAGAGTGTAAAGGTGGTAAGCTTTCCAAAGAACGTTTAACGGTATTTTTATGTGCTAACATGGAAGGAGAATTTGAAAAACCTCTAGTTATAGGCAAAGCACAAAAACCCAGATGCTTCAAAAATGTAGATCCGACAAAATTTCCCATAATTTGGCGAGCTAATAATAAAGCATGGATGACTGGAAGCATAATGGAAGATTGGTTGCATACATTCAACAATAAATTAAAAAAACAAAATCGAAGAGTTATTTTATTTCTTGATAATGCAACATGTCATCCGCATTTAAATTTATCAAATGTTCATTTAGCGTGGCTTCCAGCTAACACGACATCACTTACCCAACCAATGGACCAAGGAATTATTTATTCGATTAAAGTAAATTATCGTAAAATGGTTTTACAATCGTTATTAGCAAGTATGGATAGCATAAAAAGTGTTAATGAATTGTCAAATAAAATTAATGTACTAGATGCAATTTATTGGTTGAATAAATCTGTAAACTTAATAAAACCAGATACAGTCAAAAAATGTTTCATAAAAGCCGGGTTTAATTTAGTTTTGGACCAGCCAACAGATGCCATTAACGATAACGATAACGATTTTAAATTGCTATGTTCTACAATAAATGAAAAAGTAGATAGTGATGAATATGTTAACATCGATAAGCATTTATGTACTAATGATACTGATATTATTGCTGATACTACAGTGAAACCTTGCACTTCAATAGACGTTGAACAATCCAGTTCCGAAGACGAAACAGATAATGTACCATTGCACGGCAATGATATTAAAACGTATAAGAACGCCCTCCATGAAATAAAACGATTAGAAATGTTCGCATTGGATCAAAATAATGAAAATGAACTTCTTGAATCAATTCTCAACTTGAAAAATTTAGTAGAAAAGAAAATGGCAAGTCAAATAACAAAACAAAAAACATTGGATGAATTTTGGAGTAAAATATAATATAATAATAATATGTAAAATATATAAAAATATATAAATTATAAATTATGTATATTTAATAAAGATCTACCCATCGTGAATTTTTTTTTTTTACAACCTGCATTAAATGGAAACCTGTCTAAAATGGAAAAAATATCCGGTCCCAACTGTTTCCATATTACACAGGTTTTACTGTACTATAGTATGTGTATAGTATATACTGTAGTATATATAGATATATAATGCAGTATGTTAGAGTATATACTTTTGTATATATAGGTATATACTATAGTATGTATATTGTATATGAATGATACTACTATACACAGGTATAAACAATAGTATGTACATAGTATATAAGTATGTACTAGTATATATATATATATATAGTATGTAGTATGTACCTACATAGTATGTACTAGTATATATATATAGTATGTACATAGTAAGTATTAGTATGTACATAGTATGTTCGGCGAGCGACATATCCCCGTCTAGTCGCAGTTGAACGTCACGTTCCGTCATTATTATTATTATTATTTATTATATCGAATTTAACTTTTAAAAACAATATATTGAAACACACTTGGTGGGCGACGAACAGCTGCACCGGGAATGATCTACTATTATCGCATATATTTGCAGTGCGTATGACGTGTGCATGCGAATTAAAATTAACAATTATCTTAGTTGATAGATCGTCCACGATAAGCGCGTATATGCCTCGAATTATATGGGGAGTCGCGATTCTTTCATATATTATATCGGAGTGTGTGGGTGGGAAAGTCGGCGGAGTAAGGGGAAAACAGCCAGGTAGTATGTATATTGTATATGAATGATCCTACTATATATATATATATAGGTATATACTATAGCATGTACATATTATGTAGGTACATAGTATATATAGGTAAGTATGTATATAAGTATGTACTAGTATGTACTAGTATGTACATAGTATATAATTAGGTATACATGGGTATACACTATATATATGTGTTATATATATATATATATATATATATATATATATATATATATATATATATAGGTATATACTATACTATGTATATTGTATATACTTTAATATATATAGGTATATACTATAGTATGTATAGAGTATGTACAAAGTATGTACATAGTATATACTTTAGTATGTATAGGTATATACTATAGTATGTACAGAGTATATACTCGGGTATATATACGTATATACTATATCATGTATGGAGTATATACTATATACATATAATTAGGCGCTCGCGGGGGCCCGCGATGACGTAGGAGGCGCGGGACGACGTAGTCCCCGGTGTGGGAGGGGGTGGGGAGAGGAGCTCGGGAAGCGCACGACGACGCAGGAGGTGCAGGCTGGGGGAGTGGGGGGAAGGAGTCGCGGGATGACGCGGGGAGTCACGGTGTCAGCGGGGGGAGTGGGGGAGGGAGTCGCGGGATGACGTGGGGAAGCATGATGACTGGTGAGTGGAGTGGGGAGGGGAAAGAAGCAAGATGACGTAGGGAAGCATGATGACGTAGACAGGTGAGGGGAGTGGGGAAGGGAAGAAGCATGATGACGTAGGGAAGGGCAAGGAGGGGCAAGGAGGGGCCGGGAGTCGCAGTGTGGGCGGGGGGAGTGGGGGAGGGAGTCGCAGGGAGTCGCAGTGTAGGCGGGGGGAGTGGGGTGGGAAGCACAGTATAGGCGGGGGGAGTGGGGGAGGGGGTAGCGCGCATGGCGGTGGGGAGGGTGGGGGGTGAAGCGGGGGGAGCCAGAACCGGCTATTTCATACTACTTATTGTAATAGGTCGGTTATTTTTATAATAAAACACCCATTTTAAACATTGAAGTATTTAAAAATTAGGATGAGAAATTCAATACAATAGGTGTGTCCACCGTCCATCATATACGTATTAATCAATATATATTTACCTACCTATATTAAAATTTGTATACCCATGTTTAAATTATACTTATCATTTTTATATACCTACTTATTTTTTAGTTTTTTATTACAAAAATGAAAAATTGTACCTATTATGTTTTATGAATTTTTCAAAAATAATATAAAAATGTAGCTGCATATATTTAAGTATTTTTTGAAAATGTTGACTGCATATTTCGATGATTTTTAGTAAAACAAGTCGAGTTCCAAACCCAAAATGTATTTATATACGAAAACTGTAAAAACTCGGTTTTAATCTATTATACTTAAACACCCCCCATTTCATAATTCTGACTACGCCACTGTGACAGGTTATACTATTTATTTTTGCGCTTTCTTCCCACTACCAAGGTACAAAAGCGCAAATTCATTTTGCAGCGCTTTTGAATTATCGAAAAAAAAGGTCGATTTGCGCTTTCGGGCAATCGCAACAATATGATTTCCGATCTTCGCTGTACACGGTTTTGGACGTCATAACGAGCGGAATAAATTTCTCGAGCACAATAATTGCGCACCGGGTGCAACCTGTTGAACGGGTGTTCTCGCGTATTTATTCACGTTTCCGTCTTTGCCGTTGTACCGGCAAAATAAACCGATATCGGCCGTCGGATATTTTTTCGTCCACGTCGCACAGTGGGAGGAATTGAGGTTTGACCGCGACAAAAATATATTTCATAGTAAAATCATATTATATTTATTTAATTATAGTTTTTAATAATTTATAGGTTTATGTTTACAAAAGAAAATGAATAAAATAGCTAGTTCTATTAGTTGTGTGAAAACACGCGGGTAGCTAAATATATACAGTATTTATTTAATAAAAATATTATTCTGAATCAGAACATAAGTATGAATCTTCTGTTTCTTCGTAATTATCTGTAATTATTAATTGTTTACTGAGGAAGGTAATTCTGTAAATTGAGTTTTCAACATTTTTCGCTTAGAAGATATCACTGGGTCTGAACTAATTAATAGAGCATGCATTAAATCAATATTGGTACTTATTCTTGATGTTTTGCGAGTATGATTTTCCCTAAAATGTTTATAATTTTTATTACATTCCTATTACTATCAATGGAACACGGGTTTAACTGTCTTGGACGTTATGGAAATCTCAGCGCATTGAATAAATCACGGTATGTAATACCTATAAAAATAACAACACATAAATGGGCAACTTTGGCAGATCATATATTAAAATTGACTTAATAGTAAGTTTATTTATACTATATGATAAAAATTAGAGTGCTAATTTACGCTATTTTTTCTTAAGATCAATTTAATTATAAAATAAATTATTTATTTTGGTATTTCGAAATTGCAGTTTTAATATTTCATTTTTAATTGAAGGGTTAAATAAATTATTATTAACTATTACATACATTGTCCAGTAGTTTCCATTGTATAAAATGTATAAACTAAATAAACTTCATAATTTAAGATTTCGTAAAACTGAAAACAAGAACCTAACCGTGTGTACTGTGTAGCTAGGTAATGATGATTATTCTAAATTACAGTCGCGGCGTCGCTCTGGTTACTAATAGTATTGATATAAACGTATATAATTTTAGACAAGCATCTATTTTAAGACCAGTAGATAATAACAAATATTAATTACATAGTTTTTATCTATATTTTGATATATATTATTTTATTTTTTTTGTCGCGGTAATACGTCAAATCCTCCCACTGTGCGTCGGCGACCTGTAATCGAGAATGCGAGGCAATTTCGGAATCGGTTTTGTTGTCCCATAATTTGTTCTCGGTACTGTTTATCGTAGTGTTATTAGTAGGGCTCGGATTTATATGTAAATACATATTTTTACTGTGACTTGATAAATTAATTTAGGTAAGTGATAAATTCGTTTCAAGGGATTTCCAATAAAATGAACTATATTTTATTTTACATATTTTTACATATTTTGCCATAAGTACATGTTTTTACATATTTCTCAATAATTCCATTTTTCCTACATATTTCGACAATTTGTTTATTTACGATTTATTATTTATTAATACAGACTTTCCCATGTTTCCAAAAGTACAAAATAATACCAATTTTTAACCGATGTAGATGGTAGATATATTGCAAATATTATTATTGGAAAATTAAAGTTTAGTAGAAATTTTAAGTGTAGTAGATGAAGCGGTAAAAAGACTTGAAAAAGTTCAAGGACCAATTGGCGATATTGTAAACTCTAAAGTTAAAGATGTACTACAAAAAAATTCCGGTCTAGCAGAAATGAAAGCTATTAAGAATATTCTGACTGGTATTTCGTCTGAAGCTTCATTGGATGTAGAACTTTCTCCTTCAGACATAGTCAACATGCAATATTGTCCTATAATATCAGTCGAAGTTGAGAGATCTTTCAGTCGATATAAATCAATTTTACGACATAATCGGCGATCTTTCGAATTCGAAAATTTAAAAATGCATGTCATTATTAATTGTAACCATAATTAGATAGTTAGATAAATATTTTTTTTATTACATTTCATTTTAATTAATAATAATATTTATTTTTTTTTTTGATAATACATATTATAAATTTTTTAGCACATATTTATGTACATATTTTTGTTGTATGAATACATACTTTGGTTAAATAAATACATATAAATCCGAGCCCTAGTTATTACTGTAGCGAGCTGTGACTATCTTACCACATGACTCGTCTTAATCACATTATAATATATACGTAATCATAGACATAGATAATAATATATTATAAGAAAGCGAGCTCATTTAAATGTGGTTTTTGCTCTGTCCCGTTGTAAGATTATCCGTAAAAAGAGACTTTGTGCTTGAATACATTCGGATCAGATTCGACACGCGTCGTTATTAAAATATATATTATTATTATAGAGGTACCTAGCATTATAGGTACCTATACCTCCATTGTCTGTGATTACGGCGACGTGAATATTATTATATACCGCAGTCGATTATATTATTATTATTATTATTATTATTATTATTATTACTATTATTATACCGTGCGGACCCGAGAAAAAGCCACCGTGGTCTCGTCCGCCGTTATATAGTTCCAATTAAAACGATAATCTCGCCAAGTCGATCGTCTA